TATCTTAAAACAATTTGATCTCTATTGCCTCATCTATCTTATATATTATTGTTGATTAATACTTTAGCTATGTCTCATATTTATCCTCAAGCTAGACTGTATTTACTGGGGTTTTTTTTTTTTTTTGCAATTGTTTACTTACATTTATTCCTGTAATTAAAAATTCATTTGTTCTCCAGTCCTTTTTTTTCCTCTTTTTATCGTGATGTGAGTGGAAGTTTACAGAGCAAATTGGTTTTCCATTCAATAGTTCATATACATTTTGTTTCAGGATATTGATTGCAGTTCCTACAATGTAACAGTATTCTTCCCACTTCCTCCCTGTGTTCTCCATTTCCATTCCTCCTCCTTTCCCATCTCTTCCTGCCTTCTGAGCTTTTGTTGTTGTTATGTGCCTTCGAGTCGGCCCCGACTCACAGCGATCCTTCCTTGGGTTGCCGAGGCAGTATCACTATGGAAGTAGATTGCCCAGCCTTCCTTCCGATGAGTGGCTGGTGGGTTTGAACCGCCAGCCTTCTGGTTAGCAGTCAAGTGCCTTAGGCACTATGCTACCAGAGCTCCTCTGAGCTTTTATTCCTAAGCAAATGCTGCCATTTTGATCTGATATGGTTGCTTTTTCTAAGGAATGTGTATCTGTCTAATGTTACTGTTCATCTTATAGGCCTATCTATTGTTTGGCCGAAAGTTGAGCCACAAGGTTGAGTTCAGTGCCAGGCTTGAAGGATGTCTAAGGGCCATAGTCTTGGGGATTCCACCAGCCTCTATCAGACCAGTAAGGTTAATGTCTTTTATTATTTGAGTTCCATATTTTTTTCCCACTTTACCCAGGACTATTATTGATCCTTTTCAGAGCAGTTACCAGTGGTAGCCAGGCATCATCTAGTTCTTTTGGTCTCAGGGTCATGGAAGCTGGTATTCATATGTCCCATTAGTCCTTTGAATTAATTGTTTCCACGCATCATTGGTTTTCTTCACTCTTCTAATAATACAAGGAGGATGGAAAAGAACTATTTTCTGCAGTCATTTTCTTTCTTCTTGAAATACATGCTTCAGAAGTGTTTTCTCTTAGGTATTTCTATTTGGATAATTGTTATTACTGTCTTCGATGTCACTAATCTTTTTTGCCATGTCTGATCTGTCATTAATTCCATTCAGTATATATTATCTTAGAAGTATGATTTGGGTCTTTTTTATATCTTCTTTGTTTCTATTTAACTTTTCTACTGTGTGGAATACAGTTAAGTAATTGTTTTAATGTTACTGTTTGCCAGTTTTAACATCTATGTCAATTCTGGGTCATTTTTATTTGATTGATTTTTTTTTCACCCTTCATTAGAGGTCATGTGTTTCTACTTCATTGTATATATGGTGATCTTTGTTTGGATGTCAAACACTGTGAGTTTTACCTTGTTGGATCATGGATATTTTTTAACACTAGTGGTTAAGCACTTAGCTACAAATCAAAAGGTCTGTGGTTCACACCTACCAGCTGCTTCACAGGAGAAAGATGTGACTGGCAGTCTGCTGCTGTAAAGATTATGGCTTTGGGAACTATATGAGGCAGTTCTACTCTGTCTTACGAGTCAGAATCAACTCGTTGGCAGTGAATTTGGTTGGTTTTGTTCATCTTCTTGAGCTTTGTTAATGGAATGCAGTAGCAGTCACTGTGTCAATCCATCTTATGGAGGGTCTTCTCTTTTTTCTCTGACCCTCTGCTTTACCAAACATGACATCCTTTTCCAAAAACTTGTCTCTTCTGGCAACATGACCAAGTAGGTGAGATGACGTCTAGCCATTCTTACTTCTAAGGAGCATTCCAGCTGCACTTCTTCCAGGACAGAATTGTTCATTTCTGTCAGTACATGGTATTTTCACTGTTCTTAGCCAACACAATTCAAAGGCATCAACTCTTACTTGGTCTTCTTTATTCATTGCCCAGCTTTCACATGCATATGAAGCAATTGAAGATACCATAACTTGGGTAGGTGCATGCATGTTGGTTTTCAAAGTGATATATTTACTCTTTAACACTCATTTATTTATCATAATTTACTCACTTACAATATGAGAGTATAGAAAAATAGTTTCTGTCATATTATGCCTTGATTTTAATTTAGAACTCAAGAATAAGTAACTTCTCAATGTTTTCTTACAATTTGATCAAAGGAAGATGTCTTAATTGTCTTATGCTGCTGTAATAGCAATACCACAAGTGGGTAGCCTTAAAGAAGATAAATTTATTTTCTCACACAGAGGCTATAATTTTAAATTGAGGGTGTGGCATTAGGGGAAAGTCCTTTTTTTTTAGTCTATTTTAGCTTCTAGTGGCTGGCAGTCCTTGGCCAGTTCCTGAGCTTGTGGATTCATTTCCTTTCATCATGTAGTGTTGTTTTTTTTCCCCTTTGTGCTTGCTTCCATATCTTTGTTGCTCTTTATATTACTCTTCAGTAATTAGGTTTAGGACACATTCTACACTGATGGAGCTTTGTTAATATAACACATCTATTTCCCAGTAGGATTCTGTCCACAGGTATAAATCAGTTGGAGTTGAGTTGATTCTGACTCATGATGATCCTATAGAACACAGTTGTTGTTACGCTGTTGTTATGTGCCGTTGAGTCGGAGCTGACTCATAGCAACCCCTCCTTGGGTTTCCGAGGCAGTATCACTACAGAAGTAGATTGCCCCATCTTCCTTACGAGGAGTGAGTGGCTGATGGGTTTGAACCGCCAGCCTTCTGGTTAGTAGTCAAGTGCCTTAGGCACTACACTACCAGAGCTCCTGCAACTCTATGGCAATGGGTTTGTTTTGGTTTGGAATCTTTATGGAAGCAGACTGCCACATCTTTATCCCATGGGTGGGCTGGTGGGTACTAACTATTGACCTTACAGTTAGCGGCCAACCATTTAACCACTGCACCACCAGGGCTCATTTCCATAGGAGCCAGGATTTTAGCATATATTTGGGGGAACACGACTCAGTATTTAACAGAATTCTCACTCTTAAAAAAATCAAGAGTTAGATAATTATCTTTTCCTTTTGTTGTTCTGATTTTTCTTCCCAAATTTTATATACATTGATTTCTCTTTATAACACTTTGAAATATTCATATACCATACAATCCACCCTTTCAGAGTATAAAATTCAGTGGTTTATAGTATATTCACAGAGTTGTGCAGTCATCACATTTTTTATCAGCCAATAAAGAAATTACATATTAACAGTCACTCCCCATGTTCTGTCAGTTCCCCTAGCTCTACAGAACCACTAATCTGCTTTCTCTCTTTTTAGATTTCTGAACATCTTGAATAACATATGGATTCATATAATATGTGATCTTTTATAACTGGCTTCTTTGAGCATACTGTTTTCAAGGTTTATGGCATTGTGGCATGTATCATTTGTAGCATGTGCTTCATTTCTTTTATTGCTGCATAATATTCCATTTGACTGCTGACCAGAAGGCTGGTGGTTAAGACCCACCAGCCACTCCTAGGTAGGAAGACTGGGCAATCTGCTTCTGTAAAGATACCACCTTGGAAACCCAAGGAGGGGTAACTATGAGTCAGAATCGACTTGAAGGCAGTGAGTTTGTTTTTTTTTTTTTTTTTTTTTTTTGGTATCCCAGTATACTACGTTTGAGTATCATCTCATCAATTGATAGACATTTGACTATTTTCCACTTTTTAGTTATTAGGAATAATGCTATGAACATTCATGTACAAGATTTTATTTGGACATAGATTTTCAGTTCTGTTGGGTATTTACCTAGGAGCAGAATTGTTAGGTTACATGATAATTCTTTAACCTTTTGAGAAACTGCCAGACTATTTTCCAAAGTGGTGTCTCATTTCATATTCCCACCAGCAGTAGAAGAGGGTTCCAGTTTTTCCTAATGGGTGTAAAAAGGTATTTCATTGTGGTTTGATTTGTATTTTTCTGATGGCTAAAGATGTTGAGTATCTTTTCATTAGTTTATTTTTCATCTGTTTATTTTCTCTGGAGAAATGTCTATTCACATCCTTTGCCCATTTTTTAATTGTATTAGTAATTACATTTTAGATATAATCTCTTATTTACAAAACAGGATTTACAAAACAAATTCTTTTGTTCTTTTGATTATCTTCATTTTCTAGATGGTGTCTTTTGAAGCACAGAAGTTTTTAATTTTGATATTGTCTATTTGTTCTTTTGTTGCTTGTGGTTCACGGGGGCATATCTAAGAAATCAGTGGCTAATCCAAAGTCATGAAGATTTAATTCTAATTTTAAAAAAAGTTTTAATTAAAATTTTTTAGCAATGCCTCTAAAAAAAGTTTAAGGGGAAGCAAAGCAAATCCTTCCAGTCTAACAGTTATATATATTTGCAGTATTTTTCTTTCTTAATTCAATGTGTATATATTTTCATTATTGTTATTTGTTGAGTACTGTGCTATATTCTGATTTTTCTAATGTGTTTATATATGATTTTCATAATTTAGATCTTTTTAACTTTATAATATCATCAGTTTATTTCCCATTTTAATACAACTTATTTATAGCTTTATTTTCCTTAAGTGATAAAACTTCCATTAACACCTGTAAGCACATAACATTTGCTTTTATTGAATTATTTCTTAGTATAACTTTCCAGGGAGTGAAATTATGGGATCAAAGAATGTAAAATATCTTGACAGCTCTTACATGAAGTCATATGTTTTCCTGGAAATTATAATCACATACCATTGTGTTTTCATTTAATAAACATCGTCTTAATTTTTTTCACGTATTTTAAAATTCAGTGCATGTTAGATGCATTAAAATTCTTACAATCCTCCATCAGTAAAATTCAGGGTGAAGTCATCTGAAAAGTGAAATAAAGATAGCTGTTATGGGATACTTTGTATTGATACTGAAAACTAGAATAATTAGTTGCCTGAAGATAAAACATCCTTACTTAAAATGTAGTATTTTATTCTATTCTCTTCCTTAAGTAATAATAATTTGCTTTCTTTTCATTAGGCTTCGGGAGCAGGAAAGAAGAGAAGCAGAAGAAGCTAGTCAAAAGGAAATAGAAGAATGGGAAAGAAAACTGCTAGCTCAAGCAGCTCCAACTTGTATGGAGACCATGTGGGAAATTCCAGCCATTGGGCATTTCCTTTGTTTAGCGCAACAAATTCTAAATTTGCCAGAAATAGTCTTTTACGAATTGGAACGTTGTCTTCTGATGCCTCAGTGTAATGTTTTTCTATCAAAAATAATGACTTCTCTATTGAGTCCACCCCATCGCAGACCTACCTTACATCGAAGACCCACTTTGCCTTATAGGACCTGGGAAGCAGCACTGAGACAGAGAGTGCAGCAGTGGTACACTGCTGTGGGGCAGACTGAGAATCCTGACAGCTGTGCTGAGAAGCTTGGCTTGTGTCCTCAGTTTTTTAAAGTTCTTGGAGAAGTTAATCCATTGGAAGAAAAACCTTTCCACGAACTACCTTTCTACCAGAAAGTATGGTTACTGAAGGGTCTTTGTGATTTTGTATATGAAACACAGAAAGAAGTTCAAGATGCTGTACTTGGACAACCTATCCATGAATGCAGGGAAGTTATCCTTGGTTATGATTATTTGGAGAATGCTTACGTACATTTCCCACAGTTCTGTGGTGCAGATGTTCGGATTTATAAACAGAGACCCTTTCAAGCCCCTGAATTTCCTATTCCACCCATCAAAATACAAAGAGTACCTCGGATTAAATTGGAGAAATTGAAGTGTGACTATGTTAATACAAGTAATGGAGAACATAGGTGTAATAGAGAAGGCCTGACCTTTGCCTTCAAGAAAGAGCAGAGAAATAATTTTGATCCAGCTTGCTACCCTGCTAAAACAAACTTGGATAATCCTGACATCTCGGTTGATATGGAAGTAAAATCTAGCTGTGAAATTAGAATTCGCAGGCCTTGCGAAATTAAAAAAAGTGACTGTTGCAAAGAAAATTTAGAGAAGCTGGGGAGTCCAAGGGAATTCACTGGTTTTGGAGAGCCTCTTAGCCCTGGTGAAATAAGGTTTATAGAAAATCAGGAAAAATTTGATGAAGCTTCCAGAGTAAAGGCTGAACCCAGTCCATTGAAAGAAAATACTCTAAAATCTTGCCAAATACATGTAAATGGAAGTCATACTGATTATCCAGAAATGAACTGCCACAAAGTTGTAAGGGATATTCTGCTAGAACAATCACTGCAGAGCCACAAGAAACTCAAACTAACTAAAATGAGGGCAAAAAAGAAGAAAAAGAAAAAAAAGAAATTGAAAGATGTTTTGAATGACAATTTACAGAGAAAGCGTGAAGGTCTTCATTCTCTTGCGTTCAAGTCTTACAAGCCTGAGATCCAGAATAAGTTATTGATCATTAAAAAGAAAACAAAACACAAGAAGCACAAATCTGGTAAGCTACCACAAATGGGTGAGAGTTACACTTAAGCATAATTTGAATTGTTCTTTCAATTAGGCATTACCAAAGCTCTGATTAGTCAAATGAAATGCATATGCAGCACATATATATATGTGTGTGTGTGTGTGTGTTTAATGGTCAAATTTTATTTTATTCCCCATGACTAAAACCCAGAGCAGAAGAGGTTATGTGTATGTATATGTATGTGTGTGTGTGTGTGCTTTTTGCCATCGAGTTGGACCTGACTCATAGCGACCCCTCCTTGGGTTTCCGAGGTGGTATCACTACGGAAGTAGATTGCCCAACCTTCCTTCTGAGGAGTGGCTGGGGGGTTGAACCGCCAGCCTTCTGGTTAGCATATACACTAACCAAAAAAAAAAAAAAAGTACAGCATATCTGAATTTAATTCTCAGTTGAAAATCTTTAAACATTATGTTTCTATATTGCTGTGGACTAGTTTCCACATAAGTGATGCTTCCCATTTCCAGCGTTTTCTTATTTCCAGGCCAAGGGGCCACACAGAGCAGTGGAGAAAGCACTATTAGGAAAGTCAGGAGATAATATGTCTAAGACTAAAGTCCATAGCCACTAACTTCTTTAGCCAAGACAAGTCAATTTACCTTTCTGTTTCTCAGTTTTTTCCCACATATTGTTAAACAATTTTCAGTATATATTTTCATATCCAGAAAAAAATGTTAAAAAGTATAAGAAGAAAATCTCTGGTAGCATAGTGCCTAAGGCACTTGACTGCTAACCAGAAGGCTGGCAGTTCAAACCCACCAGCCATTCCTCAGAAGGAAGGTTGGGCAATCTACTTCCGTAGTAATACCACCTTGGAAACCCAAGGAGGGGTCTCTATGAGTCAGGTCCGACTTGACGGCACATAACAACAACAACAATAAAACACGAAGGGTGTTTTTATAAAAAGATGTGTAAGTTTTTGTCTTTTAGCAAATTTAAATATCCAGTATATTAGTCATCAACCTATTTAAACAACAACAAAAAATCCTAAAAGTCTTTAATTCTTGGCTGCTTTGTTTTTTAATTATTCAGGTCCTTTCACTTTTCCTGTTACCTGCCATTCAGTCAGTTTAGTCTAGTTTATCCTCCTGAGAGGATAGATGAGATAGTAACAAATGATTAACTTTCTTAACCAATACTAGTTAAAAAGTTGCTTGATTGGGAAAAATTGGAATTGCTTACTAAAATGAATTGTGGTTATCATCATCATTTGTGGATTTTCATTTTCTATTCCTGTTACACAGTAGCAAAGATAATTAAAATTTGGAAATAGTTTGATAATGAATTTGCATATGAGAAACTGAATATTTTGTTTAACTGATGGTAGTTGGTTTTATACCTTAGTTATTTAAATAAAGCATTAAGTGCAATTAAATGTGCTTAAATAAATTTATTATCAAGAACAGGCTTAATTTTTAGGACTAAAACTTGCAAACATACACTTGTCTATTCAAGTGACGAAAAGCTTTAATTTTTTAAAAGTAACTTTCAGAAATAAGTTGCTTAAATTTTATAAGCAATCTATTAGGCTATATGGATTTAGTTTGAGGGACTGAGCAAGTTTACTTTGAAATAATAGTCTCTAAAATACTAAAATTTTACAATTTGATATATTTTTCCCATTCTAAAGTATGTAGTAGTATTTTATTAATACCATTGTCACCAAAAACCTTTTCTTAAGTTTCTTATGACACTATTCTTTATGTGTTCAAAGGTAATTATGATTTATGGTGGTTCATAAAATGAAGTAGACACTTAAGCAACTTATATACAGAACATAGGAACTCTGGTGGTATAGTGCCTAAGGCATTTGACTGCTAACCAGAAGGCTGGCGGTTCAAAGCCACCTGCCACTCCTCGGAAGGAAGATTGGGCAATCTATTTCTGTAGTGATACTGCCTCAGAAACCCAAGGAGGGGTCGCTGTGAGTCAGATCCAACTCCACAGCGGTGAGTTTGTTTTCGGTATACAGAGCATACCAATAGTAGAATAAAAAGATTAACTACTAAGGAATGGGTTAAAAGGAATTTATATTATAAACAATGTTGGTACATTTTTGAAGTGAAAGTTCAGGGTGTTAGGAGATTAGAGAAAAAAATTGTCCTAGTTTACTTGTTGTTGTTGTTGTTATGTGCCGTCGAGTCGGCCCTGACTCATAGCGACCCCTCCTTGGGTTTCTGAGGCAGTATCACTACGGAAGTAGGATTGCCCAACCTTCCTTCCGAGGAGTGGCTGGTGGGTTTGAACCGCCAGCCTTCTGGTTAGCAGACAAGTGCTTTAGCCACTATGCTGCCAGAGCTCCTAGTTTACTAGTTCTAGACAAGTGAATGGAAATACTCAGAAGGCAAATTCAGCCAGTACTTGTGTGCCCTCTCTGAGTCTGTTTGGTTTAGGGAAAGAAGATTTACACACAGGACATAGAAAAGGACAATGCATTTGCCCACACACTTTCTCATTTTAACCTCAGAGCAAAAAGAACTGCAGAAAGTCCAGCCTTCAGTAACAAATGTTTGGATCTGTCAGATAATTTTCTCATTCCCTTGTTAGAACTGTATAAGCCAATTCCCTTTTTATGTCAGATACTAAAACTCCTTGCTGTTATAACAGTGTTCCATAAAATGTTATAACAACAATCCCATCTGTTTTACATTAATTTTGGTCTACTTCAAGTCTTTCTGAGGTATTGTCCTGGGCTCCTTGTTATATTGAGGCATCTTGGCCCTTTGTAGTCAGCTTGGCGCAAACCCTATCCAGTGTTTCCTTCTTACTCAGAATAACTGAGCTCCATGAGCACAGGTTTAGGAGATGCCCTTTATAGATTTACATTGTGCATTATTATTGTGGGTCCACATGCAGTATGTGAAACTCTGGGACCAGGTATGTTTGGAATTTCAGAAATCTTCAGATTTTACATGGATAGTATGGCGTGTGTAGTATTTATTAAGTAATAGCTCTAGTTGGTGCAAGACTGGGCAACGTTTTGTTCTATTGTACATGGAAGGTGTTGCTGTGGGTCGGAACTGACTCAACGGCACCTAACTACAACAACATCTCTAGTAGTGTTTGGACAGCCCCTATAATCAAGCACATCATTTCTACAGCAGTGAGAATAGTCAGACTAAATGATTTAAAGACTATGAAGAACCTCTTATCAGTTCAGGTCAGGTTTTGCTACCATATAATGTCTGTTTTAAAACTTTAGCTTTCAGAACCTTTTGGACTTTAGAATTGTGGATACATGATTCTGCTTGTGTATATTAAAGATTCTGAGAAGTCTTGAAGGAAACAACTTGGGGGAAAATATTTTATTTTTGTTTAACCTAGTATTTGTCAAATTATTTTAACACAGGACTTTTTTCAAGTAATAATTATTTATTACTCATCTATTTCATAGAATACACTTTGGAATATGCCTTATTATGAAAGGGGTTAAGTTGTAGTAGAAGGCACAAAGACAAGTTGAAAATAATTTGGTAATTTTAGTACATTAAGAGGTAGTTTTGCAACTTTTAAGATTTTTATCTTCTTTTTTTTTTTTTTCTGGAATTGAAGGTTTTCTTCTTGCTTTTTAAAATTTTGATTCATTTTTAGTCACTTAGCCCTGCTTTTTACTCTTGGAAATATTATAGAAGAAAGACATTGGAAACAATGGTGTGTCTACCACTTCATGCTCTATCTCGTATTTTATTCAGTACATAGAAAAAGAAAAGTGTCGCTGATAATTAGAAAGTTTTCCTTGGGTGACCTATTTCCAAAATTTAAAAATTCAGGAAGACCTTGTCATATAAGCAAAGCAAGCTAGATTAAGTGAGAACAAATTAGAAATACCTTTTTATGAAACAGGAGGAGGAGAGCAGCGCTGAAAAAATTCAGATTCGTTTCTTTGGTTTTTCTTTTATTGTTTTTCTTACTATGAAAACAATATAGTTCATTACAGAATACAGAGATAAGCAAAAAGGACAGTGCTCTCTTCATCACCTAGTGAACTCTCACTCCTATCATTTCCCATCATCTTCTGACTGACTGACTGAAAATTTACCTATTGTGCATGCTCATAGCACCATGTACTTCTCCTGCATAATATTCATTGCGGTTGCATTTATTCTTAGGTCATTTTAATGATTGTCTCCTTTCTATTCTATCATGTTCTTAAGGAGAGAAGGCCTATTTCTGGTTTTGCATCTCTAGAACTTAGTACAGTGGCTCACATACTATAGGAATTTATTAAATAAATAAATGAGCACACATAGTATGGTTCATTCGAATATAACTGAGATTAGTTTCTTAATATGTGTCTTTCATATTCTTTTCAAGGAATATATATTTTTGTGTGGAATTATACTGTCTATACCATTTTACATTCTATTTCCTCACACACACACATCACACTATACCATGAACATCTTTGAATGTACAATGAATAGGTTTCTACAGTGTCATTTTATTGGCCACTTAGGTTATTTTCAATTTGTGTACTACTATTGTTTAGAGCAGCTAGAGCTGGTGAAAATGAATTAGAATTTTTTTTAATTGAGGAATTTTTATAAAACTTAACAGACAAAAATAATTAAAGATGTACATGTATATGGTAACAAAAGCTTATAGTATCTATAGTTTACTCATTTTCAACCAGTTTGTTTTGTAGAGTTCCCCTTCACTGCCCCCCCCCCCCCAGTAGTCATTATTTTCTACCAAATCATTTTATGGTAGCTTCCTTTATACTGACCAGATAGGGCAAGTGATGTTCTCTTAACAGGTTAAGAAACTAAGGTTCAAAATGTCACTTTTCCTTCTCACTTTAATAATTGCTAATAAGTACAGTAAAACTTGATGGAACTTGTGTAAATCAGAAACCTGTCCGAGAAGGAAAACTCAAATGTTTTCCACTGAAATGAATGATAAAAAAGTGGTAAGACTACACTATGTCAAAGGTGGAAAACTTGTAAGATTCATAAAAACAAGGCAATCCTGTC